GACTGGAGAATTTTTCTTTGAAACTCAAGTCAGTTGTACGTGTATCACATTAAAAAAATCAAGTAATTCAGGCTAAAAACTAAAATGCCACTTTGATGTCTGTTCACCACTGAATAAACAAGTCAACCACAGTTGTAGGTTAATGTTTTGACTTTTCGCCTTCACGTTTCAAAGAAACTTGGTTTGTTTACGTCCGTTTCCTCTGGTCTCCAATTACTAAGAAATAATCTTGTCCCATCCACCTTGTTCGGTTGTCTGCCTCGGTCCCAGCCCCATTCCTAGACCAGCAACTCTCTCCTCTCGCCACGTGCCGCACACACCTCAACTTCGCCAAACTGTTTTTTGTTTCCTGAGTCCAGAGATTGTTTGAGACACAAACTGCATAGTTAATGAATTCCAACCAACTTTAGAATTTTCATTCAGGATTGCTGTTTATGACTCTTTCGTGGTGATGGTGGTGATGCTACTAATGGTGTTATTTGTTTCTTGTTTTTTTTAAATTCTTTCCAAACAGGTTAATGAGATGGAAAATGCGTGAATGTGAGTGGAAAAATCGTTCGCGTTGCTTTATTGCTTCCTGATTTATATTGGTAGTTAATTAATCNAATCTAATCAGCAAAGTAGCCAACAAGAACTTTTAATAGCATCTTTCTTTGAAATTTGTACAGTGAACAACTTTTTCTATACAATATTATACTATTGTCTGTCGCTGTTATCGATCAAGGATAACTATTTGAATTGTGTATTATTTTGGGGCTCAAATTGTTTTACAGTATTTTATATTCCTGGCTTAGGAATACAGGACTCCCTACCTCATCACTCTGATCTACCATTGTTGAAACAAAATGGACTGTGATGTGCTTGATTTGAACAATAATCCAGGTGCAAAAACTGTGACAGTCAAACGTAACTTCAGAAGAGTTTACAGCCATGCGCACTGATGACCATCACGATATCTGTATAGACAAAAGTAGATGGTTCTGGCGATAAAATAATGATTTTCTAATGTCTTGGGCCAATTCGACTGTTGGAAAGAATAAACAACTTTAGTTTCCATTTATTTCGCCAGCAGATTATCTTCAGTTTAACGGGGAGAGTTGAAATTGGCAATCGAATCACGACGCACCTCAAAGGATATCAATCCAACTACTTTGTTGTACCTCTTTTCTTTTCTATTATTGGATATCTGATGATGCAAACAATTTTCAGAAAGAGGGAAGCAACAACGAAAAGGGGATGATTTGACGGCTTTGGTGGTCTTTAAACTCAAACTTCATCATGGTAGTCACGTGGAATGATTGTAGCTTGAGATGCGGATGTTGTGGCAGGTGTGTTCACCAAGCTGGAAGTGTTGTTCGCAAATGTTTCGCGGCCAGGCTAGGGAACATCATCAGTGCTTCTCCGAAGTTGTACTGATGATGTTGCCTAGCCTGGCTACGAAAAACCTGTAAACAACACTTTCAACATCGTGAAAACACCAACAGTAACATTCAGTATGGTAAGTTGGCAACGTTAACTGCGAAACCACTCTCGTTAATCGTGCGCGTATGGTGCCCTTTGGGACATGACGTAGGGAAAATCGAGTTTGACTGAAGCATTTGTGCCGGGTTATTAAAAGGGTTAAGTAGTCTATGCAGTCCATATTTCTGTGCTATTCCCGTTATAGGCAACCGAATGAGTAACTTTGCTTAGTTTGGAAACTATAAACCGATACGCGCACAATGCCTACACGTAAAATAGCTTGAATGTGATTGTCAAAGCTTGATTAACCGGGCTCGGGCCATAAACTGAACCAGTTTCCTACTAGGATGGGCTATTTTCTGTGCTAGTTTGCCTGGCATATTTGGAATAACATTGATGATTCATGACACACTCGGGGATCCACCTCTGTGTTTATCAGAATTGCTACCGGCGCATAGGAATGCGCTGTGCTGTTTAACAAATTGTCAACAGAAGTTTTCGGTCATTTTTCAAGCATGAATTGGTACCACACAGAAAGCTGCCCGTGACGGGTTGCAACGGAAAATAAGAGCCCGTGTGAATAAATAAAAGTCCAAACATTTCCCACAACTCCAAACTCATTTAACATAGCAACAACCGGCGTGTATTCCATTATCTTGCCTGCGGATTCAAAACGACAGGCTTTGTTCGCATATGCCATGCAAGGTCAGGTGCACACACGCACGTCCAGATATGTGTTTCTGTGTGGATTTGGGTCATTTAGGGGACTGTGGGAAATCCGAACACGTCTATCCCAGTTGTACTAATTAGACAGATTGTGCTCTGACTGTCAACCCTACTAGGTCAAAGTGGATTCTATTGACTGTCAAACCCAAAGACCTCAGGGTGCATTTGCATCCGGTGAGGTGATGAGATTTATGATGAGTTAGTCACAGTTTTTAACCTTATGGCGGGTTGTCATACCAAGCATTGATTGAGGGCAAACAATCGCCCTAGGAGTTGTGTGCCTCATGGAGTGACAACTCCACATCCAAATGTTCCATCTATCATTAGTTAGTTACCATATGCATTCACTAAACCCCTCCAAAACGTTCTTCTTCCAGATACTGTTGCTAAAACTGACTTTTGAGAAAATATCACCCTAAGACTAAGGTGAACCATTTTAGGCAAATTGAGCTTCATTCAAGGGATTAAATATGAGATTGCCCCAACTGAGACGCAAAATATCTGTATTGTTATCCGCTTCTGTTTTTTGCTTTTATTTGTCAAATTTCAATCAGATGTGCGATTTCTCGATTTCGACGACGGCCGCCGATGCATCGGTTGTAAAATAACAAATGTGCTACTTTTTGTTCCTTATTTTTGAGCACTGGATCCTGTTCTTTTTGCACGGACTCTACCGATTTGCCTGTCGGACAATATTTGCTAGTTTCCTGTAACACATGCCTCACCCTGGCTACTGACGACCACTGTTCCCAATTTCCGAGCAGAAATTAACTGAATGCGACATTGTACTTGACTCTGTCGGAAACTGCATTAATATGAAAAACAATATGTAATGAGGTTTAAATGCCTTCTACGACCAACCTCGAGCGAGAGGCGATAGTAAGATGTGTCTGGGATAAATGTGACTCATGTGACTGAACTTTGTGGGTGAAAGTTATCGAAAATCTGTCTCACCAGTGCGATAAATTTCGCGCTATATAGGGTGGCACATATGTGGTTTTAGGTGAGTAGTTTACACCCACAAATTTAACACTTTATTTAAGCTAGAAAATTTTCACTGATCGACTTATTTACTTTGCACCGAAAGAAAAAAATGATAGATCATTTAGAATACATCTGTTGACCAGAATAACAACCCTCATGAAACAGCAACCGTTTATTGGAAATTGTGAATTATCATGCTGCCTTGTATAAAATGGTTTTAATTCTAATTTATATCTTTTGAAATAATATAAATTCCATCGTGGCGCAAATTCAAAAGTGATACGAAAGAACCCTAGAACATTGCAGTGGAAGAATCGGAATAAGTGCTCTTCATCCATAGATATAGATGACCAGATATGATACTGGAAACTAAAATGCATTTCCACATTGAGTATCACTTTGCTCGAGTTCAGTCAGAGCATGTGTATATTCCTTGTTGCATAGAACAACATACGAAATATGTTCGGTTTTCCATTCAAACACTATTCATGTGGCGAAATATTACACAAAACAATCGTTTCCAAAATTGGTACTCATTTGTTTATTGGTTAACTATTCCTTTAGAGCTATATGAATCACTCCTTATTTCGGAGAGATCCATAGTACATGTATTCGATGCCAAAAACAAGCTGCAATAAATAAACTTGTGCCTGGTTTAAATTTAAAACTATAAATTCGGCTTAATCGACTAAACTGATCATTCAAACAAAGTGTGAGGCATTTCCGCAATCCAGTCATAAATCTGAACTTAAGCGCAAGATCTGCTCTTATTGTTTCCTCAGTTCCGATGAAAACCCACTTAATATTACCAATGGATGGCGTTCTATCCCATGTAGTTCATTCATCTGTGACACCCTAGGCGCCGTAAACAACCTAAACAAACCAGACGCATCACCACGGCAGATACTCCTCGCTGGAAATTGTCCCGTTTGGTGGCGTATGGTTTTCGTCTCACAACCGAGGGGCATCACCATGTGTGTGTATACTAGCGAGATGAATAAAGGGACTATCACCCTCAGGCACGTCTGACCTCCCAAAAGACAGCTCTTTGATTTTCGGCCTATGTGGCACTTGGTGTGCAAACACCCGTTTCCGAGGTCAATGAAGCATGCATTTTGCCACAAACTCATGAATCATCAGATAGTGAAGTTGGTCATAAATATTTTAGTTCACTATGTATGTGGCCTTGGTGGCCTCAGTTTTGAATAAAAATACCAAATGGGATGCAGAAGATTGAAATTTGTTTGAACCAATTGAGTTGCTGTTCTGTCAATCGAACATTCGATGGAACTGATTGAGAATGTAACTGATTACGCTTCGTGATTTACAAACTGGGACGCAGTGCGCCAGCAATTATTAATTTTTTCGGTCTTTTACCGGTACCCTTGATTAATTCACTGAACCCAGACACCTAGCTACATTTAGTATTCTAACCACTGATAGCACATTCAAGTCGTTTTCTAAGAATATGGATATAAAGCTCTTTGAAAGTCCAATAGATTTTGATTCTTTTTATACTTTTTGATACTATTGACCCAATGAGGGGCTTATTTTAGTGGTTATTCACTGACTTCTAGACTCTAGTCTATGTGTCCGCAGGCCGTAATGCTTTGGTTGGTTATTTCTCCATTTACGAATTACACTAAAATGAATTAATCTAATCATTATCTTTTTGAAAGGTGTGAATTTACTAAGCAATACTACCCTCCAAAACGTACCGCAAAGCTGCCACACATGCATACTGTTTCAGAGATAACAGTTTGACATAATTTCGCGCTACGGTACGTAAATATAGTTACTGAGATTTCCGTTTGGCGGGCCAAACTCACCGGCAATGTTCATTCTTTTCGGACTGTATGTCGGACTGAACATGCCGTAGTGTTCCGGGAGTGGGGTAGGGCCGTACATCGTCGCTCGAGAAACGGGCTGATGATGAGCCGCGTAGCACAAACGGTCCTCTTCTGACAGCCCCATGACGGTGGCGGGATGCGAGCCCATAGCGACAGCCATCCGCGTTATATTTACCTGACCATGAGATGGTATCATTGCGTTGCTCGCGTTATCTTGATTGGTATATCTTCTAGCAGTGTTTGTACACATGACCTGTGTGCAAATGGCGATTGAAATTCGTTAGAGACAACAGTTATGGTTGTGACGGGCTGTAATTCAATTTCATTTGGAATTGGTGAAGACAAAACATGCAAGGACATGCCCTCCGATGAATAAAAAAGCTATTTATCTATTACCCCAAGCTGGATAATATTCAGTCTAGCATCCTTATTACTGTTGCATAGTATTTTACCATTGGGTCTCCATTACTTATTCTTTCCCATCTGTAATCTCATCTCAGCAGTAAAATCTTTCAACCGACAAACACTTTTTTGGAAACCCAATCACCCAAATACTAATCTGAAATCGTTGATATACTATCAAGGATGCTTGTGGACAGTTTTCAGTTTTATTTCATTTCTGTTCAGCTTTTTGGCTCAGTCGTTGGCCCCTCATTCTCGCACTGACAAATTTCAATACACCAAGCCTAAATAAATCTACCGAATAACGTATTCTCAAGGATACGAAGCACGTTTTTCGACACATTTCCTTTCTTGGTATAATTTGAATGTCCCTGCAACAAATGACTATTATCAGGCTAGGTTTTCATTACGGATCTTGCACCGAGAGAGTAGCAGTAACGTTAAGACCATTCGAACACAGCCCTCACAAAAAGACAGCTGTTACTATTTTATGTTAAATGACAGTCCTTTGATTGACCGCTTTCTCTCTCTTGGAAATTATATCATTATTTATTCAATAAAACGAAATAAAAGGGAAAACGAAAGGTGAAAATAAAAGTGATTTTGATGTCCAAAATTTCTAGTTAACAAAACGTCGCAAAGAATATCAGTAAGTGTTTCAAGAGCTGCACTGACTGACTAGATGCTTCCACAAATGCGTACTTTCATCCAAATGAAATCTAATACATTTTTATTCTGTTTATTTAGTTCGTGTTGCATGTATGAATACCTGATCCCAAACGCGGCTCGGGAGCAATTTCATGTCTACTCTATGAAGTCCCACTCCTGCTTTCTATTCGCACGCTCCATTGTTTCACCCACTAATTCCGTTTTGTAATTAAATTGTTCTAATTATTGTTATTATTTTCTGTGTTTAATTCTTCGTGTTTTCCGAGCGGGGACAAATAACTCAGCTAGATGTACCTGCCAAGAAAAGTCGGTAGAATCAACAACTTCCAGATAACCAGGTAAATAAATAAAATAATCCAATGACCTCCAAAATTAAATCAATTTTCGTTTTGATACCACTTATTCACAGGTATTTCATCTATCGCCGTTTGATTTTTTTTATTTAAAAGGTGTTACGAAGTTACTGAATAAAGTATAGAAAAGAAAATGCCAAAACATTCATCATAGTTCATCAAAGGGCAATGATTACATCTTTCACACACTTCCCACTTATGGCGTGACTTCAATGTATCATTCGTATCCGCTTTTCCTACCCCTTGCGTACAAGATGTTCAATTTTTAAAATGGTAATTGACTAGTACATGATTACCCTCTTTCAGGATGTTTCAACAGTTAATTGGATTTGCAAGTGCTAAAATCAAATTTGTAACTTCTTCCCAAGAAAACGAGTGCCAGTTTTAAACATAAGTTATAACAGCTACATGCCTTCTTTGAGTTACTGCTTCAAAATGAAGCAAATTATTGATGTAAACAACTGGGGTCACTATCTTTCAATAGAGTAGCAAGTGAGCGCATCATTGTTTATGCGTCATAATTGCTATCCTTTCCTCGTGATATTATATAAGTGCGACAAACAAAGGGAAACATCAAACATTGTCTAACTCGTTCATTCCACAGGTATGATGTTGTTTCCGCTTTGTGTCCGTAGCACATAATGAGTAGATGGCACGAGGTGACTCTCCATAGACGACAGAGTAGGCGGAATATTGTTCATTCAAAATTCAGCCCTCAGGCGGTTTTTCAAGCTCGCTCATGCGTGACTCTCAACCCGTATGGTAGTGCTCGTGTAGGCCGAGAATGAAAGCGAGCGCACGGAAGAAATGATTCTCCGCACTTTGTGGTGCCAGTGTCATCGTCATTTTTGCTCGTGCCTGGTTTAGACAGATCGCTGTACGGAGAGATCAGGCTTGGTTTTGATTAGTTGTTATGTCAAGTCCAGCTTTGGTTACAGCATCCCTAACCCCCATCGACACCACCGTTGGCAACATCACAACCCCCCCCCCCCAACCTTCACCGCATCCTTCAAATCAACACCGCCATCACCACCACCATCAATCGGTTTTGCGCTATCGTAACTGAAGAAAAGCGTGTGGTAGGGAAAACGCTTTTGTCTGTGGGTCTCATACGGGGAAGCATCCACAAATCGATTCAGAATTTATTGAGCACTGTATCACATTCACGTCGTACTCGTCCAAACAGTCCACACAGAACACTTCCGTACTTGACGGGATAGGTTCCTCGAGAGCTGGATTCGGTGATGTGTGTTTCGCTTTCAGGAATAAAAAAATTGCATTAATTCACATACCTCTTATTTTCCAGGTCAGTTATTAACCGGGCATTTCTATGGGATAAGTTGACTGTAGCAAATCTACGAATAGCAGTAACAGAGAACAACAATCGTATTTCTCTACGAGTGAGTCTGCCTCGGTTCGGTGTTGTAGCAACCGTCGGAGGAGAGGGAGAAGGTGAGGATAATTATATTGATTTCAAACTAGACTTTTTCATATTGGAACGGGGTTTGAGGGATTCTACCGCCCACCCCGGATACTGAACAGATGCTACATGATGTGGGATTTTTCCATCCGGTGAACCCAGCTCCCCACCCACATACACACACACACACACACTCTCTCTCTATTCTCTCTTACAGCTCTAGTCAACCATGTCCCAATCCAATGGTTTTGTTAGTCTCATCAGCTGGTTGTATTCCCACGTTACTGTCGCCTGTAGATAATTGAACGGACACACTCTGGATAAAAATAAGTTGTAGACCCAAAATGAGGGACCCGTGAACTAGGCACATCACCCATTATATTTTGTATACGCTGTGGTACCGGATATGAACAATTATCCTAGTCATTTCAATTGTGCTGCAAACAATACCCACCGTTGCTGTAACCAGCCAAGCATGAGCATTAACTTCAAGCAGTTTGAATATCTGAAAATAGAGTATCATTGTGCTAGTTACTAGAAACTTGTACGCTTTCACTTCCTTGGTTCAAAGTTTGAATTAGGATTGGCAAAGTCTTTTTATTGGGTGAGCTTGTAACGCGTCTTGAAGGCTAGCAGTAGAAATGAAGCGTGATTGAAGGAAATGGACGACAGACGCCCTAGGACGAAGGATCATAAACATCAGCTATGTGCTACCCAACCAGCCTGGCTAGATGTCAACAGTTTTCCATCAGATCTCCCGGAAGCAAAACGATTATGACTCCGGTTGTCGACCCCTGGCATTGAAGGTGGTGGTTATCGCGCAGTATAGAGAATATCAATTTCTTATACCGGATTTCGCGCGTTCAAACCCCGAAATCCTCTACTAAACTTCCCAGTTTCCACTTGTCAGTCTTCTATTCGCCCAGACTTCATTCGTATATATTAGATATGCAAACTGTTTGGCGTTCGACCACAAAAATACCCATTGCATTTTCATTCTTAAGAAATGACAACAAAAAAGGAGTCTGACAGTGAGATTTATTTTAATTTTCATGTGATTAATGTAGGATTTAATTAAATTTCAAATGGGAATCCGTCGTGTATATAGCAAATGAAGCGTGAACTGAAAAGCTAGGAAGAACTGGGCAGCTGTTTTGACCTGGTTGGGTCTCATCAGCTGTGCCAATCCATCGATCCAACTGGGGATCGAACCCGAGACCTCATAACCCTGGAGGCTAGTGCAGAGATGAGCAGGGTCTGTGGCCCACAACACGCTCACAAAGATGGGTTGTGCTGTATCGTGTAAATGGAAAATGAAAAACGGTCTGATCAGCTGCCCCGTGGCGTAGTTGGTACCATGTTTGCGTTCTGCTCATGATCCCCACTTGGGTCGATGGATTCGCACTGCTGATGAGACTCAAGCAGGTCGAAACAGCTGTCCAGCTCTTCGGTTTACGCTTCATGAGCTACATACACGACGAATTTCCATTTGATATTTTCATTTTCACAGATCATAACTCATGATGTTCTATTTTCTCTCGCTATAAATCGAAGGATAGCTAAGGGTTTGTGCCTGATAGGCTTTCTTGAATGCACTTTGCTGATGACAATATGTTCTACCATTGTTAGACATTCGTGGAAAACCAGAATATTCTTTTGAACTAAAAATGTCTGTTTGCGTTGATCCATAAATACTCTATATTTATCGCATCGAATAAGTTTTACTGTCAGTCCGTCTGTAATGTACACCAGACAATTGATCGTTGAGGATTTACCCATACCACGAGTTTGCTGTTCCTTTCAGATGAACTGGAATAAAAAAGCCGCACTTACTAGTGTATAGCCTGTCAAAACGACATGTATATAAACGACATGGACGACTGTGTTGTTGTGAATTGGTTTAAGTTCTTATGAAGATTCAACGCTCTCGGGGCTCGGTCAGATCCGGCGAAAATCTCTAATCGCAGTGCACAAATAAACTTATAGCCCCCGAAAGTAGTTATATGCTTGTGAAAACAGTCAACTTAATGTTGCACTTTAGCTCTGTCTTTCCGGTTATATTGGTGCATTGGTCAACATTTCTTAAATAGGCCGTTCAGAATTGCGCATGTTTTTCAATTTGGTTTGACGTTGTTATGCACAGTGATGCACAAACACTAGACAGCAAGAATGTNACCCTAAAATGATTGATACATGGTGCACACATAGTAAGTGGAAAAAGTGTTCAAATGCCAACTGATTGTTAAAACGTTTCTCCACACTTTATCTTTCTATTGATTTATTTATCTATTTGTTTATTTATGTATCCATTTCTCTGTCTGTCTGTGTATCGATTAACCTGGTTTTGAGTTCTTTCGATGAGTAATCAAATGACCATATCAAAAAACGACTANATAAATAGCAACGTTTCACTTTAATAAGCCAGCTTATCAACCTATTTCAGTTTAGTTTCGTTTCACCCTAGTGCAATCGCATTATCAGCAGTAGTCATCCATCGGAGCCGAATCGGAAGTCTGCGTCGTTCAGCGTTCAGCCGTAGATCCGCTAAATACAATTCCAATTTCTTCACCTTTCCACCTGTGTAAACGCCTTTGGACCATCAAATGGCTAGAAAAAGTCGGTACACATCGATGTGCAAATCATGCATATTACTTGAAAATGAGTTTTCGAAAACGTCCAAGGTATCGTGTTGAGTAGAAATTTAAACGAGAATTTATTCCCTGACGTGAAGGTTCATAAGTAAATAATTGTAATAATTTACTTGAAGTATCCCACGTCGAAAAATAACATACTTCCATCATATGACAAGTATATCTAACACTCGGATCTCGAGTTTTATCACAATAAGAAAAGGAGTAGTGAGTCTCCCCGGTGGAAGTCCCGAAAGGGGAAATTTCCGGTAATTGCACAGTGAAGGTTGCCGAGAGAACGTCTACGAACGTTTCCAATTGAGAGAATGCTCCAGTATCAAGGCCAATACCCTCACCCAAAACTATCAAACAACTGGCATGAACAAATTGTCATGATAAATAAGTACAAAAGGACAGTATTTAAATGGTGAAACCGATCACACGCACAAAGTAATCGCTGTCTATTTTATTTAGCGGAAACTACCCAGTTTATTTAAATTGTGATCAATATTTTGCTCACGAACGCCGTATATGTTCCACGCATGATCACCTACTCAATATTGTTATCTAATTGCTTTATCCGTTATCACTTATGGTTAATGGAAACCCATTCTGCACCTATTTTGCCACAGGTTTGAACAACTACATGGGAGAAATAGGCCAATCATTAACTTCACTTATTCCCTGTTATCGCTGCATTACTTATCAAACTTTGTTGGTTACTTAAAACGATCAACGAGAGAAAAACATGATTGATTACTGCCTTGAAGAAACGTTGACGAAATAATTCTGATGCGATTTTCCGAGATAATAGGTGACCAAGATCAAAATTGTGTGAACAGCGGGGAAATTTATAGAAAGATTTTAGTTTAGTGTGATGTTAGGGAAAACGTGTAACACTGTTTCGGACTTATTCAAATAGACCGTAAGTTGCAGCACGAATGGGAAATCAATAGCAAGACCAAATAGTATAAAATGTGTTCAATCGCACCCTTTTCAGATAAAGCTGGTTGATTCCAGCTGCACTTTATTCTCAATAGATCTCTCAAGTCTGTTGATGTTTTTGAAAGCAGATTACGCTAGACATGAATTACATGAGGCTGTCTAGATCTTGGTGAACGGGATTAGTTTTAGTCATCTCATAGTTGCGGTCAATACCTGAACACCTACTGACTGTTTATCTTTTTAATATGTCTGCTCGCATGTATTCTCCAAATTTGATTGTCTTTATTTGCTTCGTTTACTTTATTTGTTTGCGATGTGACAAGAGTGGGAATAAAGTTTCTCTAAGAAAAAAAACCTGCCATATTCAGTGATGAAAACCGCTTTCAGGAAGAAACTTCAGTCAACAAAACTGTCAGAAAGCCGAAAACCTTAGCTAATTCCTTCTCAGTACATCGATTTGATTACTCCCAAAGAAGTGTACGGTGCAACTTGGTTAGAACTGTGACGAATGTAATTCTCGTGGTTGCAAAGTAGCCTGTATTGAATAGTGAACGGTAGGAGAAATCGGAAGTTCGCTGAGGCTCATTGATCTTAAAAGAATTCAGTAACTTAAGCTTCTAAACCATATGAGGCCCCATAGGAACCAGGGTGGCACCAAGCTGATTAGTGGTAGTAGAACATGGTACCTCGCGGAGCAGTGAACTTCAGTCGAACAGCGTAGATCGTGAAACTCGATATAATACCAAAGTTCGTTGATAAAATTTATACTATGAAACCATAAATGCACACAGGATGCCACCCGAAAAGCAGTTTGAAAAGGGGTGGATTCTGATAGTTTCAATATTAGTGACATCATGCAATATTGGTGACAAAAAGTGAATATTTTCCACCATAGAACCTACGAGCAAACTCGGACCGTGCTGCTTATTTGAGGCTTTGAAGTGTTCACGGGCGAAACCCTTATTGTTTTTTTCTTTCCGGAGGTTGTCTCTGTTCGATAAGCAGTGAAACGGAATTTGTCGTAGGATATCTTACACAATGAACACTTGCTTCATCGTTTAGTAAATTGTTCATTCTTTTTAGAACAAAAAGTGTCTGGACACGCACACAAAAACACAGGTGCAAAACTGTACCCAACTCACTTTGGTAGTGCCGTAGCGCAACGGCTTTCCTTGGTCCACCAATTCCACATTGTTCACTGTGCTGCGCCCAACACGTTTTAACGCGCTCAAATCTGTGGTCCAGTTGTTAGTGTGGTATTTGTATGCCCCAGAGTTGAGTTCATAAGAGAAAAAGATACCGCCAAAAGGTCAAAAAAGGAAAATGTACGAAGTGTGACATGGTTGACAAAGGAACAGGTGAATGATATACAGTGCAGTTTGAAATCAAAGAACAAAAGCGAGATGTTCGAAAGCAACTATGTGGATGATTAAAGTCATGGTGTTAGACTAGAGTGGAATCAAACAATGAGTTCAACTTTTTTCGGATCAAATCGTGAGAACGTCTTAGTTTGTACTGATACTTCTGCAAGGTTCTCAAGATAATACGATCAATTTAAAAAAGAAGCAACCGATTTAGTTTTTATCTGTACATAGTGCAGTGTTTGCCAATGTTCTCGGAATATCGTTGAGATTTTTTACATAATCGTTTCTAGGATTTTGACGCCTTATTTCCAGGGTTTGAATGATAGCGTGCCAGATAGCTTTAAAATGGTACACTTTTGTATGCAGTAAGCCTTTGAATTTCACTTATCTCTAACAGCAGGCTGATTTGTACCGAATCTAAAAAACACCAATGTTTACCCTTTCTAAAAATGGAAATAAAACCCTAATTGATTTGACAGTTTGGAATAACGTGCCATAAAGTCGCGAGAAATTTAGAGACGATTGCTGTCCCACGTATGGTTTTGCTTGTGTCCGTAAGTATACGAACTTCCAGCCATTACACAAAAGTTCAAACAAAAATTACATAGAGATAGACGTCCGTCAGACGCATTGGATGTGAGACATCGATTTCCAGTCACTTTCGTTCGCTGGGACTGCCAACTAGTAAAAGAGATTATATTATCTTCATTTTTCTAGTCACTGAGTTACCACAATTTCACAATGCATTGTTAATATCCGGTTTGAGTTGAAAATAACGTATACCGTCTACTCTATTGCACAATACATATTCTATGCGGAAAATTTATTAATGCTTTCTTTTTATAATCCAAGTACCAAATTATTTTAAAAAATACTTTCAATTATTTTAAATATATGTGACTAGAATAATAGAAACATGTTCGGGGAAATCTATAAACAGAATTCCCGATACCCCACGTGGTTGATAACGGGGGAAAAGTGCTGAAAATATCCATGTCACTGTCGTAATGTAATGATTCCTGATCACATTTTCACCTTATATTCCGCGATTTGTTTAGTTATTGTGTCTAAGCCACGTTCCTATTTAAAGTTAAGTTTCAAAGCTGGAAATAATGCTAAAACATTTCAACACTCAAATATATTAGAAACAAGTGTACCCATTTAGTTGGGGTTAAAATTATGCTAGACCCATTGCAAGTATTTTTAATCACAACAATCATATCCCTATTTGCGCTTGTTTTGTAAGTAGTTTTGATATAAGAACTATTAAATTTTAATGGCAATTACTGTAATTGCTAGTCTAACCATTCAAAAGTAGTTAAAAATGTGAATGTTTTACCGACAATCATGAAACAGATATTGTCACTAAAAGGAAATAATTCATAATTGAGTAAACTGATAAACTATCGGATTGCATCTGAGCACAGAACTGCCGATCGAATCGAGATCCGCCGCGAAAATGTCACATTTTCTGGAATCCACCATGAAACTTTTCAAATTTGCTTTTCCTCCTTCACTACATATTTAAACTTTCTTTATTCGGTCCCACAATTTTATGTTCCTCTTCAATTTCTCTCATCCTCAGTAGTTGTTTCTTTCGGGTGATGGGAAAGTAGGCCACAGATCGACGACGGTTACATCTGGTTCACGTATCTTCTAAATCCGTCAATTTTTTGTCTATCTCTCAGAAACTTCTTTTGTACGATTTTAGAAAGTTTCAAAGGAAAAAACAATCGTTTCTATTTGCTACGATGGAATTTTTCTCCAACTATTACTTTCTTACATCGCGCCAAACAAACCCGGGGAAAATTCGGTCTTACTACACCAAACGACACGCATGGACGCGGTCTGATTGATGGTCTGCGAGAAAATGCCACTGGTTAAGAACACGCGACGAGCATGAACAGATTAGGCTGATCATCTCCGGAAACGAGAGCAAGATTATATGGTTTATTCGCCTGAACTTCTTGTCCTCGTAAATGTCTGACAAACTGTGTATGTGGTGTTCTGCTGATCTGTTTATGCGACCATACTTACCAGTTGAACTGTTGGCTATGGTATAAATGTGTTTTATTTTTACTTAAAGTTCATAGATTAATTTCCCCTAGATGCTGGTTACCTGAAATCCATATTTATATCGTCACACAACATTCATCAACTAGACTCATTTGGGGACTGAGCACCAAGTCCCAGGGATACCCATTTCAATCAGGTTACGTTATTCTTTGATTTCTTGTTACCTGCGTTTTGGTTTACCTTTGTAAACCAACTAAGTTCTCAGGAAATTGACAAATCTGAGCAGAGACAAACTCCGAAATTTTTTTTTACTTGTCTATTCAAAACACCCGTATGTGGTTTCCATTGTGACATTTTTCTCCATTCATTCTTCAACCGATTATGCCCAAATACTCTGTCCTCATTTCTTATGCATTCCCCCAGACGTCGATATCTGATGTGTTGGTTTGTTGTGGATTCCGAAAGGTGTTTGAGACAGGTAATTTATGATTTTCCTCTTCCCGTTTTTCTCTACGAGCATCTGTCGTTCATCGTGTATATTTCAATAACCTGAGTCAACATGGATTTGCCTCTATTTTGTTCTCATCATTCTTATTCTATAAATGAAACATCAACCATTGGCAGTTCACTTGCATTTTTTCGTTCATTTGTTTTGCTCGTCAATTTACTGAACCCAAATCTTATCAATTTTTCCTGCGAGAAAAAGATTGCCTGCACACCGTCGGAGTGGTATTCTGGCCATGGTACATAAAGTAATCACACCTGTAAACAGACACTCGTTAATCTATGACCCCGATCTCGTTGTATTAATGGTTCACGTGGTTTGCCTTTTTCTTCATCCATCTTTTGTGTAATTCCACGGGTCAAGTCTGGCACATTTGAGTACGAACGCTACAAATTGGTGGTGAGGACACATAAGGCTTCACACCTTTTTTAATTATTCATGAGCAGTCCGGAGGGTACCCATCGTAAACTACTGACAAGTCATCTACCTAAATGTATAGTTTGTTTGTTTCTATCCGTTTGAAAACAACATAAACGATTTTGAGTAATTTCGTTGAACACCTATTTGTATCTCCTGTTTTGTCTAACTTTTGATCTTGTGGCTTTCATTACTCGCTCTCTCGCGCGCGCTCTCCGAAGTTGAGCTCCACAAAACGATCAACGTTTTGGCTTCAGAGCAGATGACGTATGTACTTCGCTGGTGAAGTACACAGCGATGCTGATTAATATATCAACAACGATGAGGAAGGAGGATGAGGACAGGTAGGGATTGTTTGAGTGATCGACAATCTATCAGTCTCAATAACAACACTACGTAGAAATCTGTCGAAAAAGGTAAACCCTGCTGAGTTCCGGCCAAATGTTAAACTGAACAAAAATTGAGAAAAACGAGTAAGAGGGTGTGACAAGGTGGATATAGGTGCGCTATTGTACGAATAAGCTACTCCGTCTGGATTGTGGATTGAAATAAAACCTACATAAAGACTACGACAAACGGATAAGCAAATAAGCAGACAATATCGGCAACTGAGTGACCGATTACTCTAATCTATATTACACATACTTGGAATAGACTGATTGGCTGAACACTTAATAAATGGCGTCCTTTCTGCATTTCTCTGTAAAGGATAGGCCAATAGTTAAGAACTCAAAAAAAATAATAACAACTCCTTAGGTTGGTCTTACCTTGAGAGATAATTATTTACAGTTGAATTCTTCGCCTCGGTTTGATTTGCCAAAAGGTGGGGGCATTAGGAAAACACTCGACTACATGTGCACCTCATTATTTATTAAGTTTAACAAATCTTTTATCTTGCCAAAAATTCACAGTCTTATACTTAATGTAACTCGTGGTTGTTAGTTATTTCGCACAAAATGTGATTCTAAACTTTGCCCGGTTTCAAAAAACCACATGAAGGATCGGGTGAACTGATAGTTATACGCGAGATTCCTTTTAGGATTCACAAAGGCCACACGATCCGATTTTCTACGTCGTTAGTTACTCTATCGGACATTGTTTCATGCTCGAAATGTCCTTGGTCTAGTGTGAAAGCCCATCTTCTTTGGGTGCGCTTTGTCATTTCAAACCGTAAAATGTTCATATAATACTTTAAACCTGCAACAACTCTTTTTTGATTGTATTCTCAAAAAAAATATTGAACCACACTGAGACAATAGTTCATATTTTTGTCTAAATCAACAGTATCATTCATTTAGCAATCTTTTACGTGGTACTACATTGCCTCTTACAAATTTATTCTGAAGAACTTCTTCAGTCAATGTTGCTGTCCTGTAGTCGTATTTTAATTCTAGACACAGACAATCTACGAATTATTTGTTTATAATCAGACCATGTTTCAATAAACTTTGGAAGAAAATTAAGCCTGTCAATCACCCAATAATCACTATGGTGACGACGTTTCTCAATTGTTTGTAGTTTGCCTTTTAGATAACATGAGGTCTAGTCTGTACAACAAATAGCGGAATATCGCACTCCATCGGCAAACTGTTGAAACGGAGTTGAATAATCTCTTGAAAACCAGCTTGGTAGAAAGACGGAATTTGTTTGTGTTGGCTTCGATGTGACTGTTCACTGAACATGTAACGGCATCGTATACTCGATGTGGTATTGTTTCTTTTTTGGACATTAAATAGCTTAAAGTTTACTACGTGAAACCGTATCAAATTTATGCGTATACGTTCATATTTGATGCGGGAATTGCAAAGGATACTCCACGACACCGCGGAGAGCATTGCAAATTATCCGATAGCTCATGGAGAATTCCCGACTACGGCCCACATAATTTAAAGATTTCCTTTATAGAGAAATGTTGCATTCTATTCATCATTT